CGAAGCACATATATTCATCATATTCCCGATCTCAACCGACAAAGCAAGGAACTCGTGGTGCCTTGGTAGAGTATCGGACTCAATGACTAAAGGTCACGGGTTCAAATCTCGGGGGTTCCAGGCCTTGAGATTGGGTACGACTGGCTGATGACGGCTAACAAGCCAGAAATGGTCATTCCTGTCTCCCTTTGCTTTGTCGGATCCATTTTCAAAATAATTATGCAGCCATATGCGTAATGCCACGCCCTCGTGTTTTAAATTACCACGACCTTATAGAGTTTGATTGAGAAGTGGTGCAAAAACATAGCTTTAAGGTTTGCATTGCTAATGTGGCTTTTTGGTACACTCAGGTTGTGGAAGTCAAAACCAACGCAATCACTGTTTATGCTAAAGAGGAAACAAAAGAGATCTTGACGAGATATTTTAGTTTGCTCAGATGGTGTTCTCATTTCTAGTTTTATAGAAGTGTAGGGGCGTCATGTTTGAAGAAAGGAACATTCACGTACCTCTGAGTGGGAAGATTCGAGATGAGGTAATAGAGACGGAGAGCCCTGGAAGCCTCCATAGATTATGGAACTGACGGGCGTTGGTGAGGAGTATTCAGACATCGGAAATCCGGCTGTAACGAACAAAAACAGGTAAATTAGACTGACATCTCTCTGCTTGTTTTTGTCTGCCTTAAATCCGTTTTTTTTTCACTTTAGAAGACATTTTTGTTTAGCTGGTATGATTAGATTTTTCAATAGCGAAGATCGCACCTCAGTCGCTGGTTAAGGTGAAAACCCCTGTGGAAGCAATATCTTTGCTGTAACATGTCGCCCAACTTAATTAATTCTTTAAAGTACAGTTTTCCTTAATGCTCACAAGCTCAGGGTTTTCTTTTTGTTCCTCTATAAGGGAACGATGAACAAAACTCAAAAAACGTTTTCAAACGCAGTTATATGAGATTGTATGGCTGTGGTCATGATTCAGACAGGGATGGCGCCATCATTGAATTCTCAGTGCGGCAAAAATATGGAGTTATAACAGTAAGCAAGCACACATCCTTACTAGTTTATTATGATAGAGATGAAGTATAATCTCGGGCACAATGTAGTTCTTACAACCTCCGTTGCCTCTTGACCTATCACACGTGCTCATTGGCCTTACTGCTTGGAGACGCAACCTGTCACAGGAGACGAATGACACAAAACCGCATTAATCTTGTTCTGGCCATTTTTTTTGTGACTTCGAACTTGAAATTTTAATTGATTGGCATTGTGTTACTTAACCTCTGCGGTCCGAAGCAGCCCGTAGCCACTTCTAACCTCTTGATCAAAATACAGTATATCACAGTATGTATATGGAGTATATATATTGTGTATATTATATACACGGAATATACATTGAACATTCTATA